GGGGGGTTTGGGAGTGTGGGGGGGACTCCAGCGTGTCCTGCTGGACACAGGCTCCATGGAGGGGTAAACAAATGGACTATGTAAATACAGGATTAGAAATTTTTAAATGCATTATCAGCCAGAAAGGTAAAGCCACTGAGCTTTTAAGAGTAAAGATGAAAACATATCTTGGGAAAGTTTTCAGTCTGGGAATAGTCATGCTTAGGTTAGGGAAGTTGAGTTGGGAAAGAAAGGTTGATTCTCACTAAAAAGCAGTGTTTTCAAAAGGTCCAATTCTTAGTTCCTAGTTGCCTCTCAAAAGTTTTCTAGCTTTGAGTCATTTCTTGGGCCCTCGGGGTGTGAGAACCATGTTAAATATTTAGTTTTTTAAATAATCCCCTTGCAAGATTGTCCATCTGCAAATGAGAAGGTGTGTATTTGTATTTTAAAACCAAAATGACTTAAATTTTGTGTTTCAAACCAAATTTTAGGTTAATTTTTGGAATTTACAAAATAGTAACAACATATAGGGGTTATGTTTATATGCATATGCTGGACTATATTGAAGTATCTATATCTGGGTTTTTGTTTTTTTGTACGTGTTTCCAAGTTACTGGTGGCCAAACTTACATTGCTTGCACATTGTAAATTGTATTTTAAAATTGGGAGTAGCCCTGGCTGGTGTGACTCAATTGGCTGGAGCATCGTCTCATGCACCGAAATGTCTCAGGCTCTATTCCTGTTCAGGGCATACACCCAGGTTGTGTGTTTGATCCCTCGTCGGGGTGTGTACAAAGGCAAGGGATTGATGTTCCTCTCTCACATCAATGTTTCTCTCTCTCTCTCTCCCCCTCCCCCTCAAATCAATAAAAACATATCCTCTAATGACGGGGTGAGTATTAAAAACAATAACAAACAACGACAACAACTGGGAGTATATCATAGCAGTTAATTTCTGGCCGTCAGAAAGCCACTTTCTAACGCTACTGTAACTACGCTGATGGATCCGCAACTGTGACATCAGCCATGGAAACAGCTCCAGGGAAGAGATGCTGAAAGTCAGCAGCAGCAGGGTTAGGGGGGAGAACCTATCATGGAAATGTGAATTTGTTCACAGGCTAACAGCTCGATTAGAAACCCAAAGGGAGAAGTCTGTTGAACCAAACCAAATTCCCTTTTATTATAAGAATAAGCGAATCCTCAAAACTCCTCCCCTTTCCTATCCATCCAAAGGGGGCCGGTGCACTAATCCTTCAGGGACTTTGTATCCGTTTGTCTCTCGTATAATCACTGAATTTGGGTTTAAACCGAGGTGATTTTACTCAACCGGTGAGATCAGCAAACACTTTTTTAAACATTCCTGGTTCTGAAAAAGGTAACTCGATTGCCCCAAAGGCAAAGATGGGCTCCTCCGGAGACAGACACGAGCAGCGGCTTTCTGGGTGGTGGCCGGGTACTTACATCTAGGAGGCCGTGGGCGGCGTCGCTGCTCTCCTTGTTGGCCCTGCACATGGCCTGATAGTCGTAAAGGGTAATTCTATGGGAAAGAATGGAAAGGAACTTCACTGAGGGGGAGACGCGGGAACCGAGTGATGCTGGGCGTCGGCAAGGGCGGCAGGGACGAACACCGACAAACGCGGGCCTAACCTGGCGACAAGCCAGTGAAGGGGACCAAAGTTCCGCCACCCCAAAATGTGCCTTTCGGGATATGGATTTTAAGCTGTTCATTAAGAAACAAAAGATTCAGAAAGAACCTCCGGCCCTCCCCCTCTCCCGCCTCAGGGAATCCAGACGGAAAGGCTGCTTCTGGAAGAGTCTCAGCATATCCTCTGCCCCCCACCTGAGCTCACGTGAGGCACGTATGACACACAGCAAGGACGGGGGCAACCACCCGCCCTGCAGGCCAGACCCTCCGTCCCCTTCCTTTTGTCCAGAAGGCATATAAACCGCAACCGTCTAACGTGTTTCGGGTCACATTCTTATGGGCCCCCAAGTGTACGTTCATATAACAAACTTTGGATATTTTCTCCTGTTAATCTGTTGCTGTTAATTTGATTATTAGCACAGCCAGAAGGACTGAGAAGGCGGGAGGAGAGTCCTGTTTTCTCAGCCCGCACACCAGGAACACGGCAATGTCCGAGCTGGAGACACTGTCTTGCTCCCCTTGCACAACTGCAGAGCCAGCTCGAAGTGGCTCTCTGCTGTTTAACGGCAGGATAGAAAAGCTGAGTTGTTTTCCAGAGGCGGCAAACCAAAAGCACAAGTCACGCAGCCGAAGCAGGTGCGGAGTGGAGAACTCTGCCCTCCAGCTGCAGCTGAACCAACGTCTCCCCCGCCCACCGCCCAAGGAGCCAAGGGACCAGGACATAAAGGGAGCGTGAAGTCCGGGGCCCTTCAGAGGCAGAGGATCTGCTGTCTAGGAAGATCCCCTACTGATGCCCCCCACCACACACGGCCACGCTCCAAGGTCCTCCAATTCAAACTTGCCCCTGCACCCTCAGAGACCCTCTCCGAACCCCGGGTCGGGGAGCTCCGCTTCCCGTTCTCCCGGGGGCACCATTCATAATAAAATCGCCCACCTTTCTCCACTGCGAGTGCTGGGAGGACAAACTCACTGTGGTCCGTAACACTTGGAAATTGAAGAATACAGGGAACGAAGGAACTGGGGTGCTGAGGGAATAGGAGAAGTGCCCCACACTGAAGGGACAGTCGTTCTGGTTTGTCAAAGACAATGTGCACGGACCAGGACGCCCCACAGGGAATACGCTGTCTGGACTGCATTCTGGGCCGGGACGGAACCCACTGTGGCCATGTCTCCGAGGCGGAGCAGAGCGCGCAGGGCCAGTTTGGAATAAAGAATAGCCGGACCCCCTCTCTCCCAAGCCGTAGGAGACATGCCTGGACCAACATACGCCCAGCACTGTGCCAGGGTGCTGGAAACCAGCTGGCTCCCTGGTTGTAATTCCCACCCCACTCCCACCACCGTAACAGGGAGTGTATTCTTACTTACGAAAACAGCGCAGTTTGTGAAACAAGAACATGGGCGTGTTTTTCCCCACTGGTGATAAAAGTATAGCTGTTGTCTCAATTATGACCCAAACTCAGAAGCTCTACTTTATAATCGTTCCAGATATTTTTAATTTCCCATCAACCACTTTACAAAGGAAAGGATAATGGCAGTTTCTGGTAGCAAGTTAACAGATTTTAGATGCAGCAAACACCCTCTCCCAAAGAAGACATCTTCCATCCTCTCCCCCGCCCCATCTCACCACTATTCCGGGAACCCCAAAGGAGAGACCCTTAAAGTCCAGCCTGAGTTGTGTAGCCGCTGCCAGGCGACGTGTTAACACGGCTGTGCTACATGAACTTCCACACGACTGCAAGGACTCCGCCCCGCGGGAATTCCTTTCCGCAGCGATGCAGTGCTCAATGTGCGGCATCCTCAATGCGGTGCTCGCAACGTGCCACCAGGCAAGTGTCCAGCTCGGGGAAGTCCCGGAGAAACGTCTCACGGGAACCACCGACGGCCCTGAGAGCAGCCCAGCCGCGGAATCGACTGTGGACCACGGTGGGCAACTCTGACTGGTCCCTGCCTGGCCTTCCGTGCCTCAGTCGGCAAGCTCATCCATGGGATTTCTACAGGGGGCCCTGGAAGCGCCGTCTAGGATTTGGCAAAAATTACCGTTGGCTTCATCTTTCTCCTACTGCCCAACTGTCTCTGCAGCGGAAACTGGGCCAGGGCCGGGATGAGGGGAGCGGAGGCTGGTGGAGCGTGCGTGTGGCTGGGGTCTGGTGCATGTGCGTACAGTATGGCCTTGGTTTTAGAGGTTGCCTCTGCCATTTATCCAGGGTGAAATCTTGCAGATTGCTTACCCTCTTCCGAGGCTTCACTTTCTCACTTATAAAATGACTCACAGAGATATTCCAGGATTTAAATGATCAGGCATGTGAAAATATACTGAAATATACGAGGCAGGGTCTGTCCTAGGCCTGTGATGATCCTTATGACAGAGGCCTATTTTTATTTTGTTAGCGTTTGGGCTCCTAAAGCTACACTGTTTCCCAGGGCCCAAGTGACAGCAGTGTGACCTGATTGTTAAATTGCTTTGAAGTCAGCGACACCAGAACTCAAATCCTAACTCATCTACCTATTACAATGTGTGTGTTTTTGTTTTACGTTTCTGGTGCCCCGGTTTCCTCATCTGTAAAGGGCTGAGAACAGTGGCTATGCTACAGGGTGGCCGCAGTGATTAACTGAGGTCACATACTTGCTGCAATTAGCACAGCGCTCGACACAGAGGGTCGTTCAGCGGAGGGCAGGACTGCGGCTGCTGCTGTAATTTATTAGTATGGTTTTCGTTGCCATTACCCATTCACGGGGTTGGTGTTTAACGCGATGGGAACTGACTCCGGCCTTACCGGCTGGTCGGAGAATGGACAGCCCTCCTCATTTCCTTAGCTCATTGGCTCATATGACACCATGTAAAATTCACCTGTTACTGCAGCACAGGCACCTTCGGAGGCTGTGCCGGGGTTATCAAGAGGCGATGCAGGCTCTGTTCACGCGCTTCTTAGCTGAGGACCACGATAACAGCAGCTAATATCATCGACCTCTGTACAGTAGCCATGAGCAAGGTGCCCTTCCAAACATGACCTTGCGAGACATTCTCATCTGCCCCATTTCTCAGAGAGGCAGGCCAAACCTCAGGCAGCCTAAGCAATGCGCTCGGGTTCATGTACCTAACCAGTGGCAGGGCCAGAATTAGATGGGGTCGAGCTGTACCCACCTTGCTCTGTTTGACAGATCCTAGGAAATGCTTGGAATTCAGCCCTGTGCCCCATCCCCTAGTCTCTGGAATGTCGCGGGAAGCGCTGCCCAAGATAAGGTCTCCTAACCAATGTCCAGAGTCGACTCTCAACCCAAACCGAGGGGCTGTTGAGGGGTCACGGGGCCGGGCTGGACCAGCTGGCCTGCTGGTGAGAGCCCCTCGCCATGGCAACCACCCTGCAGCCAGATGGCAGGAAGCTCAGGATGCTCCCAGGATCACTTTCAAAGGCTGTAGTTTACATGTTGGGGCCAAACTCAATTGCTCTGGGGCAGCCTCCAGGCCAGGGTTCCTGGCTTTCATTTCACCAGGAAGCTCTCCCATCCCGATCCCCTTGCCATTGAGGAGGTCCCAAAACCGGCCTTCCCTGCCGTCTCCACACTTAGGCAGCTTTAACTAGACGTTACAGAAGGAGAGACTTCCAGATTATTACCCTTTTTGAAGTGATTTTGTTACTGTTTTAAATAACTCCATTTTGTGGCTACCTGTATCCTGTTCGGCTGATTATAGTTAAAGAACATGGTAATTGCCTGCTTTCATTTGACTCTAAAATAAGCCCGGAGCCTTGGGCCCAGCCCAAGACTGGTGCTGCTCTGCTGCCCTCAGCAGGGGGAGTTTATTCTCATGCAGATAACATGCCTGAACCCCCATGACATCACCAGCAGGCCCTTTACCCTCAGCCTGCAGCCCAGACCTTGTCATTAGCATCACTGTGCTCCCTGCCCTGTTTCTTTGAAGCTTTGAGGGAAGGCAGATATGGTCTCAGAAGAAACTCAAAGTGATGCAAACAGACCCTGGGCAACGCAAGTGCTCCTGTGCCAGGTGGAGCCTCAGGTGACAGGCCCAGGACACAGGGACTTGTTTAAAGCCACTTTGCTGATTCTGCTCTTTCCAACTCGACAAAAACTACAACCAAGAAAAACATTTCTTCTAAGAATTAGAAGGCTGAGTTTCAAAGGCACGAGCTCAGCTACGTTAGGCTTGTTAGTAACTGTGGGACCTGGCATTTATGAAACACCTACTATGTGCCCAGGAGGCCCGGTACTTTACCGGTAATGACTCAGTGAATTAACTCACTGTGGCTAAATGGCTACCTGAAAACCAATCTCAAAACAGCTCGATGTTTGCAAATACAGCCCTAAAAGCAAGACAGGGAGGCGTTTGACATAGAGACCTGCCGTGGGATGTGTTTAAGCCATTCTGAATCTAAAATTATGAGAAGCAAAGCAACTCCCTCGGGTAGCATGTCAAAGTATGTATTCTTTGCCAAGCTGTAAAATGTGTTCTCTGGGGCGGCTTTCAACTTGCTGGTGGTAGGGCATGGAGCAGGAACACAGGACATTCTTAACAAAGGGACAGGGCCACGGGAGCCTTACTGCTTACCTCTCGGAAAGCCAGGTGAGTGGGAAGCCCGGGCTTGTGATTTGAGTGCTAACTGAAGAGCCAACAGGTGCTCTGGCCTCTCCCCTCTGGCATCAGTCGCCACGTCCTGCCACAGCAGCTCCTCGAAGAGCTCGCTGTTCCTGAAGATCAGCAGAGCTCGGCTAGCAGCAGAGGTGCTGAGTGTACACAGCCCTTGCCCTGCTGCCTTTGAAGGCTGCGACTGGAAATCACTAAAACAAATCTAATTTGAGCACCTGTCATTAGCAGAGAATTAATGTCACGTGGCTGCACTGGCCAGACGCCCGGTGCACAGGGTACTGGGGTCACT